CCTTTGATCATATAGCTGGGATCGGACTTTACGTGATTGACACTGGTCCAAGGCAACAAGTGAAGACATCGAAATGTCATGTTTATTGAGAGATGCCAAATTAGATCTTTCCCTGTTGAGAAAAAAATAATAAAACAGAATAACAATTAATACAAACTACCATTGACTAATCATACAGAATTATATTAATTATATGCTGAGAAACAAAAAAACGGACACTTTTTTTCTTAATAAATACTTGCAATCATTATAATTTTTATTTTTTGTTGTTCACTGGATATTTTCTGAAGAAAAATATAATATATAGCTAAACAAAAATAAATAAATCTATTTAATTTTATAACTTTTTTTTGTGAGGCGTGCTGAATGTCTGTTTGGCAGCCAGACAGTAATGTCAAGTTTGCCAATCATTCATGGTATAGTATGTGTAAAACAAAGAATTGTGGTGTTCGTTTCGGTGGTGATGGGAATATCAGTCAAATCTTTGCCAACGTTTCGATTTAAATCAAATCTTTATCAAGGCATCCACTTGATCTCTAAGTGTTCACTTTTTTATTTATGTTTTATTTATTTATCAATTGGCAAATGTCCCATGTTATTGTTCTTATTGCAACCAGTGAAGTAGAACAATAACATGGGACATTGCCAATTGATATATAAATAAATAAAACAAATAAAAAATAGAACACTTAGAGATCAAGCGGATGCCTTGATAAAGATTTGAATTAAATCGAAACGTCGGCAAAGATTCAAAGTCGTTTTCTTTCCAAAATAACCATTGACCGATATTCCCATCACCACCGATACGAACACCACAATTATATTCAACGGTCATCACGTTACATTAAAACAAAGAAGTTCACCAAAAATTGAAAACGGGGTGGCAGGCAAAATGTAGAGAAAACTCCAGGGTGAAAGCCAAAGTTAAGAAATGGGAAGAGGAGACTACAAAACTCCATCTGAGGAGAAAGATCCCTTTTTTCAAATTGTAGTTTGGTCTTCTACCATCATTCTAGTATGTCTTATCCTAGCCAACTTATCCAACTGGAAATGATCAAGCTACGGTTCACCGTACAGACATCACCACAATTTCATTATCCTGTTAAAAATATTTATAACACTTTTTTTAATGAGGCTATTCATACTACAAGGAACTATGAACTATTGAACCATGAACCCTAGGAGTGCTGGGTTTTTAAAAAAGCCCATTCGTAAGAAGGTCAGGCTTGAATGCAAGTAAGTAATGAAGCCATGACAATCGCCTAAACTGTGTCATTGTGGATCAATCTAGTTCAGCAAAGATCTACCAGGTAACCAGAAAATTTTGTGCGGTTTTTCATTAATCAACATTTCTATTTAAAGAGGATTAAGTGTTTACATAGTAATACCAAGATGATAAGCAAAATTCTTAAAAAAAAGTTGTTTGAACAGTTTACTGTAATTCAAAAACCTAATAGGTGCATACTTATTGTATGAATTTAAGCTCAGTAGTGGGCGGCTGAGGCAGCTCGTAAAATTCATACTGAATTCGGTGATGTAACAATAACGAATTATAGATTTTGAAGCCAAAGAATATATATTAGATAGCCATAGAAAATATTTTATAACTTACCATAAAATGTTCAACGCTTTTTATTAACTGACATTATATTATCCTCTTGGTGATTTAAACACCTAATCCTCTTAAGTAAATAGAAAGGTTGATTAACGGTATCAAAACTATTAAAACTGCACGTACTTTTACCTACATGTTAATCACAGCATAAAACTAAACACTACAGAGTGTGGACGAGCTTCTTTTCTGGTTAACATCACCTCTTCTACAAGTAAAACAGCAAATATGAAGATGATTAGAAGCCCAAACAAAACCTTTCTGGAAGCTACTGCAAAAAGGTCCNAATAATGAAATTGTATAACTGAGTATGTGTGCCCATACTGGAGTCTCATATGCAGGAGCAGGACTAATATTGCCAGGCTGCAGGTTGTGGAGAACAAGTTTCTGAAACTTGTGATAAATTCTACTCGATGTACACAAAACTGCACACTGCAACAAACATTGGTGGTAATGGAATACATCAGAGATATTTTAAGCAAGCATCTTCCCATTCTGCTGCCAAATAGGTCACTATAGTTTGGGCGACAGGTTCTTACATCGAGAATTTGCCGGCTTCGTTCCTAGGAGACGGGCGGGGTTACTTAGTGTAATATTAAATTAAAAATGGACGCCATGCTGTTTAATATGACACAAAAACAGCGAACCGTAAAGAAAAATAAAAGAAAAGGAATCAAAGAAAATTCAATTAAATAAAAATTAACTAAGTAAAAGAACGCAACATTTACTTAAGAAAACGATTAAAAAACAAAAAAAAACATATTTTTTCCAAAGAAACTAAAATAATGAACATAACGAACTTACACACTAAATGGACCTTAATTATCTTATAATCTAAGTAAACATTTGTTACAAGCTAAACTTTCCTGGGAACTAGTGTCCCTCTATACTTCTTGTTTCTGACGACTGGAAATCCCCCCTTCCAGGAGAATGGGGAGCACCTTCTCTAAAGTTGGGTGGGTCTGCTGTCGCCTTCGTCGATGAAGGAATTGATAATTTTCTAATGACCCGGCCAGGCTGTAGGGATCTCCGACTCAACGCATACTTGCATGTTAGACAAGTAATATTTTATTGTTTTCAAATCATCGAATCAGTAATTTACATCTTTCAAAATTACAGGTGAGAATAATTACTCTTGGAAAAAAAAGATCTTTAATATCAATGGAGTGGCACGATTGACTAAAGAATATAAAGGGGACTATCACGATTCGCAAAAACACTGTAAAAATCATTTAGTGATAGATTAAAATTTATCTAACAATTTATTATATTACTAAATGATTTGCCAGCATTTTGGTGAATTTGCTTTCAAACCATGATAACTAAATAATTTTTGTTAAAACTCAAATTTCTGTTTTCATTGAATTTGATTTACATTAAAATAAGTATATTGTAATTAATATAACAATAAATATATAAACATAGTTTGAAATAAACAATAAAATGAGTGTTCATTATTTTTTCGTCTTTCAATATATATTAGTGAGTTTTCAAAAATAA